CCCTGATAGAAGCAAACTCTCAAAACGACACGGTGCGACTTCAGTGGGCCAGGTAACTGATTCGCTCATCATTTCAGTGCTTTTTTTTCATACACTTACTGACATAGAATTACTGGATTATCATTTTTGGATCACCAAGTTTAAAGACCATACAAGAGCAATAAGCCCAATTTAATCTCAACTCCGTTTGACCCTGGGGTTAAGATGTACACAAATTTACCCTTGTAAAAAATAGTGCCTCTTTCCGTTAGACCCTTGATGAATTGCTGCATTTGCAACCCAAAACTTCATAGAAAGCAAGAAGGGAAGTTTAATGTACCATTTTGATTTAGTCCATTATTTTCCTCTAACTAAAAGACAGTCAAGAATGACTATTTTAGCTCCATTGGCAATGGGCTATAAGCTCAAAGATAATGGAGAAAAAAGTTCCCTTCAAGTTTTTTTTACCCATACAGCCCTACCATACGAATGAATAGTGTTACCAGTCTTTTTTTTAAATTCTATTTTAATTAATTTATTTTATATCTTACCAGTTCAAGGAGATGGGTTATTTGCCTCAGGCTATGGTGAATTATCTTGCATTATTGGGATGGGGTGATGGCACAGAAAATGAATTTTTCACCCTTGAGCAACTGGGTGAGTCGCCTTAATTTTAGAGTTGTTTATACATCTTTCATCTTGGTCTGAAACAGAATATACTTTTCCATTATGATCTGCAAACGTGTAACTTACCTGAAACAGTCATTTGGCTTTACAGTTGAGAAGTTCACGATTGAACGAGTAAACAAAGGTGGTGCCATTTTTGATTCCACAAAGTTTAGGTAATGGATTTTTTCAGCTCTATGCTTTGAGTTCCTTCATCTGCGTTTTACAGGATTTCCTGAGCTTTATCTGTTCGCAATGAATTGTAGTATTCTGTGAATATCTTATACTTACCCAGTACCAGTGAAAAAACGTAGGTGGATGAATGGTCAACACTTGAGATCTCTACCGTTGGAAGAGTTAGTAAAAATCATTGGTAGCCGCTGGAAGGACACAGGTATTCTTACAGAATCAGCGGGAACGTATATACAGGTATGTTCTGCACTTCTGCTCTTGAATTTCAATGTCTTAGTTCGCTTTGGTTTAAAACAATGAAAATGAAGATGTTTAGATTTTTTTGCTGGAAAATGTTTTAAAGTTGCTCGCATCTCTATATTTAGGGGTCAAGATGTATGCCACCTTACCCTTATTGCAGTTTTTGGGTTCATTTATCAGAAAGTTACAAGAGTCAATTAGACTGTGTCAACTGCTATTTTGAAAAACGGCATCTTACTCAAATTTTTGATTTAAACAGGAGGCAGTTGTGATTTTGAAGGATGGAATTGACTTGATAAGCGATTCAGAGAAAGTTCTTTCGAACTTATTATCTTATCCTTTTCATGAAACCCTGAACAGGTGAGAGAAAATGCTAATGCGACACATCATGAGCATATTGTCAATTTAACAAACTGAAGAAATGGAACTTTCTGTCCCAACTCCTAAGATATAACATCTGAGGAATGAGCTACTACTACGTTTTAAATTTTCTCCCCCAGTAATATGACCATTTTCTTTTGCAAAAATGGCTGGCTTATCTATCTTTTATTCATGTGAGAGAAGTCATTATATATTTTTCACACAAATTTGCTACTCAATAAGTTAATAAAATTTTTTACCAAACAATTCTACCCAAACTCCCCTCTATTAACTTTCTGCTTCAAGGCATTAGTATTTCTGTTTACAGCTTAGCGTGCCATATAGACAACCGTTCTAGTACTCCATGCATCACATTTATCTAATTATTATAAGAATAATTATTTAATTAATGAATTAATTTGAGTGACCCTAATCTATTTTGCAGCCCCGAAGCAAAATCAGTTTTGGATGATGGACTATGTGAAGTTGCAGAGAGTTTGCAAGCTGCCTATTCGAGTGGTGAGTTATTGGGTGCACTTGAAGAAGGGCAACCTGGGTGGCAGAAGTGGGTAAAGACCTTTGGTAAATCACTGAAGCGGAAGGTGAGAAATCTTGGTTAACTTCCCCTTTAGCATTCCACTAGTATTCCCAAACCAAAGCTGTTTGTGATTGTTAACTGAAGCGAAAGCTGTTTAAGACATTATTTCCCATATGCTAAAATAAGCGAAAGCTTTGTTATTGTTGTTGTTTTTTGGGCCAAAGCCGCCTTTCGGGAGGGAACATTAACATGTTGGTGACATTTGACATCTCAAATCATTTTTTGATATTGTGCCCCAGGGAAAATCTCTGTTCATGCCCCTCAGGGTGTTGCTAACCGGAAAGCTTCACGGCCCAGACATGGGGTCTAGCATTGTTTTGCTCTATAAAGCTGGTAAGTCGGGTGTCGTCTCATCTCAAGCTGGGTTTATATCTCTGGATGAAAGATTCAAAATGCTCAGCCAAGTTGATTGGGAATCATTCAGCAAAGATGATCTCCACTCTGTATCTCTTTGATTTTCACATTAGTGGCAGTGACATGTATTCCTAGCTTGAAATTATGCCCACCACCTTTTTCTCCATTTGTTGGACTCTTTGTATTATACTATGTATAGAGTATAGACAATGATATGCGGTTTCAAACATCAATTAAATATAGATCGGCCATTATATTTGCGTGGACGAAATGTCTTTCTCGACTGTCTATATGTGCAAGTGAGAGTAATAGGCCCGGCCCACCCATTTCTTCTTATCATCATCTATACTATAGCTACCGCCTTCTATCCCCTTCTTAGGTCAACTAAACTACATTCTCATCCACACAAAAAAGAGATGAGTCTCATCTTCGAGATTCTCTCAGACCCGGTCAGACAGTTATTGAGAGAAGGTAAATTGGACCTTGATTGCAAATTGGTGGCAAAGAGTAAAACTTGCACTTAGTGTTTGCAGAGGCCCTATGCTTAACATAATTGCCTTCCAGTGCAGTTGACAGGAATCGAACTCGAATCTTACACCTTTGGCACTCCTTACCTTTGCCAACGGGCTACATTCTCATCCAAGATATTAAAAGTGGTTCTCCTTTCTTTGTGAAGCTTGTTTAATAAAATAAAAAAAGAGACAAATCTATAAACACCATATTCCCTTCCTCCTAGTGCATTATATTCATCAACCTTAACTTTTTCATTAAATGACAGACACACTCATATTTATACTCTCCCCGTCTTTCATAAATCTTTTAATTTATCCTTTTTATTTGTCTCCCAAAAATTTTCTCATTATAAATTTTAACATTCAGAATATCACAATAACCTCTATTTACTTTATTTATTACACTTTACACACTTCATTTAATATGCTTCATCTCTCTAAAAAGACACAAAAAATCAAAACGAGAAGATGATGAACGGAGGGAGATCATAATTTATTTTAATCAGATCATAATTAATCAGATCAGGAAGGGTATGCCACAATTGTGTTTGTTTTTGGGCAACCCAAAATCAGTGCGTGCTACGGTTCTGGTGTCATCGGATCATATTAATAGTAGTAGTTATTAAATGTGTAATAGCGCGGTGATCCGTCCGTCCATCCATTGGCTTTGAAATTTTGAATTTGTGTCGGTGCCCTATTTCGGGTAACTAACATATATACGGAACAGTAACGGCGCCTCGCTCATTTAAGGAATTATCCATCAACGCGGCGCCCTTCCTCCACCGCCTCCCGTTTTCTCCGTTGACAATCTTGCAAAACATGCATGCCCTCTCACATAGTCTAATTACCAAAAATAGAATTTTAATTCACTCAGCTCACACCCTTTTCCGGTTTTCAATGTTATATTTTAACCATTAATATTCATATTTACACATTTGATATTTGAAAATTACGTTTCAATAGGAATATACTGATATCAAATTTATGTCATAGTACAGTGTACTTGTTCTACGTATCGAAGTCAAATTTTACAAACTTTGACCAAGAAAAATCAATTTATTTCAAAATTGGTATTGTTAAATTTAAAAATGAGATTTATATATTTAAAAACTACTTAAGGATCTATAAAATAAAAGGGGCCAAGCCTATATTATTTTTCAAATGGGCAGATACAATGAATTAAAAAAATATGGTTAAAGCTTGACTCTACAGAGAGTGCAGTATATGAGTTGGTTAGCAAGAAATCAGACTTCAATTTATGTTCTTGCTAGGGGAACCCAAGTATTTTGGGGGTAAGTATCACCCCAAGCTTGTAGGGACATACACACTTAATAATTCTTAGTTGACACTGTACAAAGCTTAAACTCATGCTAACTCCAAAATGTTAAGTTTACCCAAGCTTGTTTTATTCTTTAGAATTTCAGATGAGTTTCCGATGGATCTTGTAGAAATTAGACAACTTTACATTATATATATACTCCCTCCTTCCCAACTTTGATTGTAATTTTTTTCTTCTCTCGATATATTTTATTTGTTGATAAAATAAAATATTTTTCTCATCTTTTATTTTGTAGGGAGTAAAATTTTTAACATAATTTTTAATATGTACTCCTTCCGTTTCTTAAATCCATTCCTATTTTGACTTTGGACCAAAATAAGGAAAGCGTAATTTTGGTTGACTTTCCAATTTTACCCCTGATGTGATAGGTAAAAGTAAGATGTGATAGTTTGGTTATTAGTGAAAAAGTATGATGTGATATGTATGGTATGAAAAAGTAAGAGTAAAAGTGGATTTTTTTTAATAGAAAAGGAAGTGTTTTATGAAATTGGAAAAAATGAAAGAGTTTTACGGAACGGAGAAAGTAATATTTATTACTCCATAATATATATCAATTTATAAATAAAATAATTTAAAAATTATAAAATTTTGTATCATAGTTTTTAATTTGTAATCAAAATTGAGCATAAAAATCTTCTTGGCGAAGCGTATCAACTTTTGAAGTCAAATCGGATAATGCGCAAAGATAATCTCAAAGCGTAGTTTTATTACACACGTACGTCACCTCATATAAATATACATTCCCCTTTTCTTTCTTCTTCCTACTCCCTCCTCTCTCTCTCTCTCTCTCTCATCCCCTTTCTTTTTTATTTATGCGAGTTTAAGACCATTTTACCCTTCTCTGTACGTTTTAATTGAACAAGAAGAAGATATATAATAGAATCGTACTTTAATTAATTAGTTTTACGATGATGATGGAAGCTCCGTCGGCGGGATCGAAGAGGAAGCACGACGAGAAGCTATACAGAGGAATCCGCATGAGGAAATGGGGGAAATGGGTCGCCGAGATTCGCGAGCCCAATAAGCGCTCCAGGATTTGGCTCGGTTCCTACTCCTCCCCCGTGGCCGCCGCACGCGCCTACGACACCGCCGTCTTCCACTTGCGCGGCCCTTCCGCCCGCCTCAATTTCCCCGCCGAGTGCTGCGTCGACGGGGACGGCCGTCTCCTCTCCGCGGCTGATATTCGGAAGAGAGCCACCGAGGTCGGAGCGCGCGTGGATGCCGCCCTGCAGACGGCGGTTGTCTCCTCGCCCCCCGGGCGCGACCCGGATCCGAGTAAAAACAGGGTTGCTCGGTTCAAGCCCGACTTGAATGAGTACCCGACTCCGGAAAGCTCCGAGGAAGAAGACTGCTGATGGGCCGATCAAGTTTGGCGTGTTCGGGTCTGGCTGACATTAGCGTTAGCGTTTTTATCCAATGGCAACCATTAGCGTTAGCGTTTCTAGAATTAATTTACACTATTATAATTTTATTCAATACGCTAATGCTAATCGAAAATGTTGTTCTAATCAATCGACCCATTAAACTGTAATTAATTAGTACCATACGTACGGGGCCACTAAGCTTAATTAGTTCATGCAGGATTAATCCAAGGGCTTAATTATCATTTCATCATACCTTATTTACACATCCCTTATATGTTAGGGATTCCTCCAAATCCCACACCGGAGGGAGAAAAAAAATGGACCAAAATATATAGGTTCACTCAATCCTCTTAGTATGAGGCTTTTTGGGAGGTGCTCAAAAACAAATCTGTGATGACTTGGCTCAGAGCGGACAATATCATACTAATGCGGGGTTGGGGTGAGGGCACGCGCAGTCTCCAACATGTGGTATCGGAGCCCAGGTTCTTCCGGGCGTGAGGCGGACTGTGTAGTGTGGAAAAAATCTCGGTGTGACGGTGTAACAATAGGACCAAGACCAAGAAAGAGGATCTACAGGTGGTGCCTTGTGTCGAAAGTCTTTCCGACGAGATAAGGTCGGGTGGCATGTCCCGTGAAGTTATAGCCACGGCGGTACAAGATGATTTGGCGGATCAAATGGTGTAGCCCAGCGAAGGAAAAGATCTACGGTTCGAGTCGAAAGTCTTCCTGACAGGAGGTCGGGCGGCGCGTCCCGCAAAGAGTGTGTGGCGGTGCAAGATGGTTACCAGATAAAAAGGAAAAATGGATTAACGTTGGAGGGGAGGTCGGAAATTGTGTGGTCCTTGGTTGAGGGGAGGTTTGTTAGGGATTCCTCCAAGTCTCACACCGGAGGGAGAAGAAAAAATGGACTAAAATATATAGGTTCACCCAACCCCATTAGTATGAGGCCTTTTGGGAGGTGCCCAAAAACAAATCCGTGAGGGCTTGGCCCAGAGCGGACAATATCATACTAATGCGGCGTTGGGGTGAGGGCACGCGCAGTCCCAACACTATATACTTACAGCTTGATCAAATCGATCATTACTAGTTAAATGCCGAGTATTAATCTACTTCTGTTCGTATTAATTAATTAGGTGAGAAATGAACAGAAATATGAAGAGTGAAAAAACACAAATATAAAATCTAATTACTTCTTTCGTCCGAAAATGTTCTTCTCTCTTTCTTTTTTGGTCCGTCCAAAAATATTCTTCCAATTTTCTTTTTTAGTATATTTTTTAAGGATAGATTTCAATGATACCCTTTTATTTTAGCACTAATCTACTTTTTTATTACTTTTTTAATAAGAAAATGAAATTTAAAAATTTATAGTATGTGCATTTATGAAAATTTAGCATTTTTTACTACTCCTTAATAAGCGTATCAAGTCAACGCGAGAAGAACATTCCCGGACGGAGAGAGTATATAATATAAAATAATTATAGTTACCGAGCCATTAATCTCAGATTGACCGTTTACCCTTGACCTACTAGTTCCTTTGAGTCGACGTCTGGTTTAATTTTCAAGACATTGGTTTGGAAAGGTAAGTATATATAAACCCTTTACTATAATTTTGCATGTCATTTATTTATTTATTTTGTTACATAGTATTATTATACTCCGTATTATATTAATTGTCATTTAAATATAGTTAGCTTATACACTTTTATTTGTTAAGACATTAGGAATAAGACGTGTAGGACCTTTTTTTCTGTCTCAGCCCACACCAATGGAGGGGAAGGACCGACCAAGTGAGAGTATATACTTCATCCGTCCCTAAATAGATTACAATTTTTTTCCTCTCATCTCGATAATTTTTGTTTGTTTACGCAATTTAATTAAGTATTTGATAAAATAAAATATTCTTGTCACCTCTTGTTTTGTAGAACTTTTGATGTAGTTTTTTAATATGTAATTTTTATATCTTATTGATATACCAATTTGCAAATAAAATAATTTCTTTTAATATGTAATTTTTTATATCTTCTTCGTGGCCCGCCATTTGTTATCTATTTAGGGATGGAGGGAGTATCTTTTTTTTTTCTTTCAATCATAAACACTTGCAATTAAAGAGACGGCATTAATTGTCGTTTATCTGTGACTAAATCCCATAGGGGCAAATAATTAAGCTTTATAATTACTAGCTATGAGGACAAATAAAGGAAAAGATTAAAAGAACATAATGCATATATAGTACTAGTAGATGTATATGAAAGAAGATGAGGATAAAGGCAAGTGATGTACGTTACAGGTCGGGACACCCGGTCTATACCATCTTTAGGTACCTATTATTAATTTATTATTATTATTATTATTATTATTATTATTATTATTATTATTATTATTATTATTATTATTATTACTCCCTCCGTCCTATAATGTTCTTCCCGGTTCTGTTTACGATATTTGACCGACTTTATTTTTAATTCAATTTATTTGATTGTAGGTGTAAAATTAAAAAATAAAAGTTAAATATTTAAAAACTACATCAAAAATTCTACAAAACAAGTGGTGACAAGACTATATTATTTTATCAAATACCTAATGAAAATAGGTAAAGAAAGTGATTAAAGTTTGACCGTGTGAATAGTAAGTGGGAAGAACATTTCAGGACGGAGGGAGTATTATTATTATTATTATTATTATTATTATTATTATTATTATACGGAGTAATAAAAAAGGAACATTGCCAAACGGTCACTTGAGAAGAAATAAGATAGACTTAAATCATGATCTTCACCTAACACTTGCATAAGTCTTATGTTAATTAGCATGCATATAGTTGCCTATGTGTGCATTTGTCAAAACTCGAACTTGAATATTATCCCCTAGACACCCATATCCTTGTCGATTGAGCGACGTCCACCTACAATGTTAATAATATCATGTCTTCTCACATTTGAATTGGGCCATATTAATTAAACTTTTCCGTTTTCCCTCAAACTACTCTCCCAATTTAAAAATTTCTCCGTATCTCTTATTATTTTTTGGACACCCCTTATCTTGCCCTGAAAATTTAAAAATGTTACATTAATAGCCCCTCTACATCATATTTAGGAGCTCCAATCACACGTTCATCTAGTGTAAGCTAAGTATGATTATCAGAACACATATATCACACGTGAGTTATGATATATATGTATATATATATATATATATGTATGTATGTATGTATGTATGTATGTATGTATGTATGTATGTATGTATGTATGTATGTATGTATGTATGTCTTTTTTCAAAACATTATCTTCTATATTTGAATTAATTAACCTCCTGATTCCTGAAACTCTAAATAATTATTGTCGTTTTTGCCACCGGTAACCGAACTCAAAGCACGTGCATCAATCGATCAACCCCTTCATTAATCCATGACATCTTCATCGAGCTCCAAGCCTAGCCTCCAACATAACTTTTGCTCATACTAATTCCAAACTTACATATCACGACATACATTTTTACTAATAATCTACACATCAACTTTTGCCTCTTCATATCGGACAATTTTACTTAAACTTTTTTATTTTTTAAATAGTACTTGAATAATGTCTAGTGGCGGGAATGATATCCTGTGAATCTGTGATGATGACCGTTTATTTTGAACAATGTTCAATGGTGGTGGATATTTACATAAGCAATGATCAGTGCACATTGAACACTGATATTATATTGAAGAATAAAAACATATAGTACAATATTGACAAAATCACTATGTTTTAAATTGTTTAGATACATTTTCCTAGTATTAATTATCAGATATATACAGACAGATGACCCACCCAAAAAAAAGAGAAATGTGACATTATTTAATTTATTTATGCAGCGTGCTACAATGTTTCTTTTTGTGTGTGTGTGTGTGTGGATACAGTCTTTAATATGTGCTACAATGTTTTAGTACGTGTACCGTGTACGCATGTGTATATGTCTCCACGTAATGTTAATTTAAGGCAATTTATGAAGGTGATACTACAACGTAACTAGATTGCTGTGGTGTAATTTACCTAAATAAGACTAAAGCATAATGATTTTATCAAAATAGGATTATATGTTTTTATTTTCTAATATAGGATCATTTGTCATTATCTATTAGTCATTATTCAACTAAATGTCCAGCATCACTTGAACATTATTCTTCTCACTAGTCATTATTAAGTCATATTTATGGAATAAAAAAGTTTAACTTCTACATTGGGAAATTACTTATGTTTTAGTCCTATTCAGTGCAAATTTCACTACTAGTATATAATTACTACTTGTTAGAACAATAAAAAATAGTTTTATTATTGTGATTGTACTTATAAATATAACACATTCTAAGTTACTTAAGTACTATAATGAAGGAGATTAAGTAATACGTAGTTCAAAATAAGGTTGGTTGATTAGCCAAATATACTTTCAAGGCATGTGATTCATGTTAACGCTTTCCTAAAAATTTTTTTTATCTACCTTATTATAAACAACAAGGTTTACAAGATAGAATTTTTGGGATACAACGATGGAGACTCAAATGTTCGGTCGCTTTTCGATACAATTTGCTAGAGTACTGTTACAAGAGTTGTCTCCAAACACGAAGAAAAAACCACATGAAAAACAATTCACAAAAGTAGAGTTACTATTAATTCATATTTCATAATCATTGAACAAACTCCCAAGAAATAATAAATTATTTCTTCGACATCTAGATAACCCATGAAATAATAATTAATGTTTATGTACATACAATCATTAATTCTTATTTCATTCTCGTAGAATAAACTCAATGAAATAATAATTAATAATAATGTACATATCTTAAATTATTTTCCAATATTTTTCCTACTACATTGCATTGTGACAAATGCTCTATTTTTAGAAAAGGATATGCACATAATACCCATTCTTGCAACTTATCAATTAGCTCTCAAGATTACTCAAAACCTAAAAAAAAAGCATGACTCGTCTAAAAATTAATCGTAATAATCAAATGAAAAAATAACCAATTAACATTCAAGAACATTTCGGGTTAAATTAAACCAGGATTAACAATTAAATTGAATATATAAGTTAGCATAATGCAATAATCAATACACTAAACCCGGAATCGGTGGCGTATCAGATTGCCGTTGGAAGCATTGCCGTCGGAACTCAGGTCGCTAGTCCAGACGCCCTATGTGTTTTCCTGCTTCAGATAAAGTAGGATGTGATGGATAAAATATTAGTAAGAATATATGATCTGAAAGGTAAGATAAAAATTAATTGAGGTAAAAGTAATTTTTTAATATAAAGAGGAATAATTTTGTAAGTTAAGAAAAAGGTTTTGGGTTTGAGTTTGGAAGAGGCTTAGTATGATCTTGGTTGATTTGGACTACAATTGGTTCTAGACTTTCATTTGGGCTTCATCTATTCAAATCTATTAAAGCTTGGCCCATTTCTTCTCCTTTTCTCTCCATGCTCCAAAATCTTATCTCAAATCCCTACAAAATATAATGCGCAATTAGTTTTAGTTTATTGATTAAATTACTGATTAGTTGAGTTTTACTGTGTTGTAGATATATTGTTTAGTTGGATATATTTTTTTAGTGTATTCGTATAATTTGATCATTTTGAATTAAATTAGATAAACCTAATTATCGATCAATTTTAATTTGTATTGCATATTACTCCGTACTATAAAGAAATAAAATTTTAAAAATTTTCAATAAACTAACTCTAATAAAATGATTTTTTTGTTAGTATAATTAGAAATCACATTTAATTGTAATACAAATAAAAATCTGTTCGGTCAAACATAAAAAGTCAAACAATGAAGGGGAGCTAGAGTTCCAGGTGGGAACAATAATGTCGTATTGAGAAGAAGTAGACAAAGGGTAGTGCCACAAGTAGTGATTCCCGAAATTACCTTTTTGACTTTAAACCACGTACAACTCGACAATATAAAACATTGGTTGAAATTTTGGGTTCGGCAAAATGATTCCAGTTTTTTTAATTTTGTACATATTGTCCCCTGTTCTAATTTTTTTTTGTTGTTGAACTCCCTTGGTAGGATAATCATACGTGGAAAAAACACACTCCATTTATTTCCGTCTCATTAAATTTTCTATTTTGAAAATATGTGAGATATAATATACGTAATGTATTATCGCCCGTAATTTAAAAAAATGAATGTGATAAATAAATTAATAATTATCATGGATAAAAGAGAGATTTTAATTAAAATGGAACAGATAATTAAAAAAAATGATAGTGAAAATATATTTTTGAAAAATATTACTAAAAGAATGTGTATAAAAAGGAGTGGTCACTCAGTCACTCTTACCCAAGTAGTAACCACTTGATGAATGCACCTGAAAAAGATGAAAGCTATCTCCCATTTTGAGTGCGCACGTTTGCGGCCGCCGCGTGCGGATGTCCGGGAGACTTCCGCCGCCGCGTTGGATCTCAAGAGCTTCGCGAGAGGCAGTGATGGTTCGGCGGGCGGAGGGACGCGGTGGAATCCGACGGAGGAGCAGATAGGGGTGCTGGAAATGATGTACAGGGGCGGGATGCGAGCCCCGAACGCCCGGCAGATCGAACACATCACAGCTCAACTTGAGAAGTACGGGAGGATCGAGGGGAAGAACGTTTTCTATTGGTTTCAAAACCACAAGGCGCGCGAGAGGCAGAGGCATAAAAGGAACGCCGCCGCCTACTCCTCCGCCTCTCCGTCGTCGTCTTCGTCGTCCTTCAACCACCACCACCACCACCGCGGCCGCCGCCAACATATTCATTCACCGCCGGCGCAACTTACTTTGGACCCCCTACTCATGGTATGTATGTATATTTACGTGTTAGCTTCAATAATTAATATTTGTTGGATCATACTAATTTAATCACGCACTAAGTCTTTGAATTTTGTGAAATTTACACTAAATAGCAATAAAATCTATGTCATTTTTTAAATTAGCACTTAAACTTTATTATTTTTGTTAGACAATAAAATTAATATTACTCCTAGTAGTATTAGTTATGGTACTGTTTCATTATTAGTCAGCTTCCTAATCCTATTTATAGTAGATGTTGTATGTTAGTTAGTTTCCATTCTCTATTCCTAGTTGTGTTAGGAATCTCTCCTATATATACTCTATCATGTATTTCATAATTAAAAGAGCAATATTATTATTTCAATATTTCAACAATTTTCTATATTATACTTGATAATGTCTAGTAACAGAAATAATGTTTAGTAACGGTAGACATTTATTTGAAAAATGACTACTGGACATTGAACAATGATACTACATTAAGAAATAAAAACATATGGTCCTACATTGAAAAATCACTATCTTTTAGTACTATTTAAATAAATTTCTCTTGAATTATTTGTATAGCGCATATTTATGCAGGCGGTAGGAGAAACATCATCTAGGAGGGAGGGGGAAGAAATGGTTGCTAGTCCAATCAAGAAAAAGTGGAACTCATTTGAAGAGATGAAATTGGAAGAGGAGGAGGACGATAAAACCCTTCAACTCTTCCCATTGCATCCTGAATTTAATTGGAAGATCCCATAGATTGATCGTGGAGGAATTCGTCATATCAGTTCATTCTTTTAATCTCATAATCTATTTTAGATCAATTAGTTACTTTACTTTTTTTTATACTTAGTGCTTAGTGGGATATGCTCTATGTAGTAATAAAAGGTGGAGGACTTGATCATATTTCTTTGTTTTGTTTAGCCTATAAAAGGCACACTATTGCTAGATGAAATACATAGGAGAGAGTATCTGGTGAGACTAAAAGCTAAGGTCTGAAACTAAAGATCTCGAGGCAACAAATCATCAATGAAGAAAAAATTCCAAGAACATACAAAGACGAAGAGGATCCAAGTACAGGAATTACTTGTAGAGTATGTATCACTTCAAATGAAGGGCTACTAAGTATGTTTCCAGAGTCATGACGTTGCTGGGTGAAATGATTAGATAAGCAAATGTGTAATTGTTGAGAAAATACTTCGATTTATGACACCAAAATACTAGTTCAATGTTTATATGTGTCATTGAGGAAGGAAATGATACATCCACAATGGCATTGGATGAACTTAAAAATTCATTATTGACTCAATAACAAAAAATCAATCAACAAGTCAATGAAGGTGGACAAGCATTAAAAGCGTGATGAGGGTACGGTGCTAGCAAACCACATCGTGGAAGCATCAGAGAAAGGGGACACTCGCCACACCAAAACAATCATGGAAGAGGAAGAGATCGGTCGAGAAAGATATCTTTCCAAAAATCATAGATCAAGGGGTGTAGATAAGTTCACTGTTGAGTGTTATATATAAGTGCCACAGATTTGAATATTTCAACAATGAATGTCACAATAACCTCTAAATGGACAGAGAGAAATTAAATTTAATAGATACTGAACAAGAGGAAGCTAGAGATATCCCTATTGTCGGTGACCAAGGAAAAAGAAGTTAAGACCCCAACAAAAGGCATAAGTGGTACATTGACACTAGTTGTAGCAATTTGTATGTGTCACGACAAATCTGTATTTTCTAGTTTGGATGAAGCACATCGAGATATTATGATAGGTAAGAAAAATGTTCTGGTTTGGAATGATAAGTACCAAATCCAAAGGTAACACAAATTACATAATCTCCAATGTTTTTTTGGAAAAATGCAAGAAATAGATTATGGACATGTTCTCTTCACCTGATATGATAGAAATAGATGGGGATGACTATCTATTTTTCGAACGGAACACCGTAGGCCCTGTGGTCATATTATGACAAGAAGAGCTGTTGTTAAAAAAGGTCCCCGTAAACCAAAATAAGATATTTCATTTTAAATTGAGATATACTCCATAGTATCACAAACTATATCAATATAATGATTAATAAAGGTAAAAAACAAGAACATAATCAACATATCATGTTTTTACAATACCAATATAAATAAAAATTGTATCTCTTTGTCCTTCATGATGTAATTTCTTGATGAAATGTGTGTAATCAGGCTCTTTTGCCAAAATTTGTTCAATTGATGACATTGCTAGTTCATTTAAACTTTCTTGAAACATTAATGACCTTAAATAAAAATTTATCAATAACGATTTTGAGAACTATTTTGGACCTACACCTTTAATTTTTTTTAATTTTGAGAATTATACAATATCGGTTTTGAGAACTACACATTTAAATTTCTTTCGGATATGTGATAGGTTATATACATATAGTCATATAAATGTGTAGTCATGAATTTTATATGACTACATACATATAGTTATATTTTTTTCAAATTATATACTCGAAATTTCAAGTTGTCTAAAAATTATTTTAGAAAATGCATGCTATTTTGCTTAATTTTTCATTCTGAACAATATTTCTTTCTAGGCCAACTTCAAATTATGAACCGGTATAGGTCAAACAAATTACCGAGTATTTTTTAATTGAATCAATACTTTTTCAATCCAAATAATTCTTTTTGAAACTTGTTCACTCCGCTCGACCTGAAATCTTTTGATGTAGTGTACCGACACATTATATTATGTTGAGTTTTCTATAAGATCATGAGTAAGATGAAGGTTATTCGGACCAGGGTGAGACTTCTTGGGAGAAATTGTGGTCGGTTTTTCTGATTACAGTCGATATTAACTTTAGATTTATTTTTTGCACTTCTAATGATGCCAACTAATTCCATTGAAAACAATAGGGGGTGGATTGGATCACCCCAAATTTTATTATCACGTCACTTTATTAATATATATATTTTGGTTTAAAAAAGATAGAGAAAAGATGAATTTTAGGTTAACTGTTAAACCAACTTTATATCTTCCCATACACAAACAAAACGGTCAACAAAACAATTGAAAAGCATGCACAACAACACGATAACAATACATTTCATCAGTTTTAGGCATAGTAAAAAGCAAACACAGAGATGGTTAGTCACACGAAAAATGCAACATTCAACTTTCAGCTCACCAAAATTAAACCGATGCAGCTAGCAGCACAAACAAACTCTGCCATATAACTTCATTCCCACATCCAACTGCAACACTCCCTGCAAACATGACTCCTTCCTCCAACTCTTCTACCTCTGCCCAAGACTTCCCTTCGCGAGGCCTTCCGATTCTTGTCTTGTCGGAGATTCAAATGGTGGAGTTGATCCTTGCTCTCGTGGTTTTCTTGGCGATACATTCGCTGAGGCAGGAGAAAAAGCATGGGTTGGCATGTTGGCCAGTCGTTGGAATGTTGCCTTCTTTAGTCCATGGTGTTCAGAAGGATCTCTATGAGTGGATTTCTGGTGTTCTGTGCCGAACGAATGGTACGTTTACCTTCAGAGGCCCGTGGTTCACTAATCTCAACTGCGTGGTGACCTGTGATCCCAGAAACCTGGAGTATCTACTCAAGGAAAAGTTCTCAAACTTTCCGAAAGGAGGGTATTTCCAGAACACGGTTCAAGATCTTCTTGGCAATGGGATATTCAGTGCAGATGGTGGGAGTTGGCATAGCCAGAGGAAGACGGCAGGAATTGAGTTCCACTCTTCGAAATTCCGGAGCCTCACAACCGACTCTCTGCTGGAACTTGTCCACCAGAGGCTCTTGCCTGTCCTGGAGGAGTCCATCATCAGCCAATCAGCCGCGTATCCCGTTGATCTGCAGGACATTCTCCTACGCTTCACATTTGACAATATATGCATGATAGCTTTTGGGGTTGATCCCGGGTGCTTGCAGCCTGGTCTGCCAGAAATCCCATTTGCCCAAGCTTTTGAAGCTGCCACAGAGGCAACCATCATGCGGTTTGTGATCCCTACATTTATATGGAAGGCCATGAGATATCTTGGCTTGGGGACAGAAGGGGACCTGAAACTATCGCTGAAGAAGGTCGACCAGTTTGCAGATGAAGTCATCAGGACAAGGAAGAAGGGGCTGTCTTTGGCATCACCGGAAGGTATCAAACAAAGATCGGACCTTCTAACAGTCTTTATGGGGCTCAAGGACGAACATGGCAGCCCGTTTTCAGATAAGTTTTTGCGTGATATTTGTGTGAACTTCATATTGGCTGGTAGAGACACTTCATCTGTGGCACTAAGCTGGTTTTTCTGGTTATTGAATCAAAAACCAGAGGTAGAGGGAAGAATTCTGGCAGAAATCTGCCAGATATTGAACTCGAGGGATAACCGTCATAACACAGAGTGTGAGGAAACACTGATATTCAAGCCAGAGGAAATAAAGAAGATGGACTATCTTCAGGCTGCTCTATCAGAGGCTCTGAGACTGTACCCTTCTGTTCCCGTGGATCACAAAGAGGTAAAGTGGTAAACCAAGTGTAACATGATATTTTGAAAATATGCACATAACAAATCATTGCCATGCCATTATTTTCATATCATAAAGTAATACGGAGTAGTCCATATAATTTGTTAGAAATTAATTGGTGTTTCTCCACCTTTTAGGTTCTCGAGGATGACATTTTCCCAGACGGGACAAGGCTAAAGAAAGGAAGCAAGGTGATATATGCAATCTACGCAATGGGGAGGATGGAGAGTGTGTGGGGAAAAGATTGCAGAGAGTACAAACCTGAGAGATGGCTTCGAGATGGGAGATTCACAAGCGAGTCTGCCTATAAGTTTGCAGCATTCAACGGCGGTCCAAGGTTGTGCTTGGGAAAGGATTTTGCTTACTACCAAATGAAGTTTGCAGCTGCATCCATATTGTACCGTTATCAAGTGAAGGTGATAGAGAATCATCCAGTAGTACCAAGGATGTCGCTGACACTGTACATGAAATATGGCTTAAAGGTGACGCTCTCAAGGCGTGTTAAGTCTGAGCTTCATCAATATCTGCACAAGTAATATATCCATTTGATAGGCCAGTGTATTCATGTAATGTACTGTATGTAATACTCTTTGCTTATCTTTTACTCTTTTGTTTGGTACTTCAAACATAGACCGGGTTGTTCTTTTTCTAGGGTCCGTTTGGAAAGGAGGAAAATGAGGAACAGAACTTTTTTTTGTGGTGTAAATTCTTTTACTACCTCCATGACTCCCTCCTATTTAAAATGTCTATTTGTTGCATTCAGGCTTAATAAAGTAATTTTATATCAGTCCAAAAGACTGATTTAAAACACACTGTACCACTTAACAAAAGAATCAAGATGCAATACAACAATCACAGCTTCTTTCATTAGTGGTGATTGTAAAAAGAGGCTAATAGTTAAGATTTTGAAAATGCATCCCGAAGGCTTTTGCAGTCAACAAAATATGAAAAACCATATCCCATGTTCTTTAAGGTTGCATCATGCAGTTCTGCTGAGGAAGTGGCGGTGGCATCCGTGGAGAAGAAAACCCTGAAACCCCTAACAAAAGCCTCTCTTGCCATGGTCTCACAACACATGTTGGTCATCACACCCGTCACGATGACCTCTTTTGCCCCCATCTCACACAATGTCTCCTCTAAGTTAGTACCTAACACGCGTTATCCGTAGGTATGTGATATATCCAAATGATTTTGATAATCGTTCATCTAATATCTGCAAATGATCATTCTTTATGAACAAAAATGAGCCAATATCTTTAAGGAATAATGACCTATCTTTATTTTAAAAAAAATACTCCTATATAACTTGTAATAAGTACAGATTTTAATTGTGCATTTGAATCTGGTGATAAATTTTAACTGAATACAGAAAATAAAATAACTGAATTTTAACTCATTTTAGAGTCTCAAATGTGACCAAATGCAATACTTCCTCCGCCCAAGAAAATCTTTATTTTTACAGATTTACTATTTTGATCAAACTATTAGATTTTTTTACCAAAGTTTGGCTCAAAATTGACAAAAATATCATGTTTTTTGAGAAAATGTTACCTCTGAAGGCGCTGTATGTGTGCTTTTCAACCACCAAATCAGTATCTACCCGGCCCAAATCGGGAATGAGGTCCGCCTCAACAGTGCCGTCCATGATAAGGTCGCCGTCCCACCACTCGTAGAGCATCCCGTAGTCCTCCGGGGACTTGTGACAGTGTCGAGTGAAGATTACCGGAACCGAAGCACCGCGGCAGAGATCGACGGTTGTTCTGATCTCCGGGAGAATGGGCTTCGCCATTGAGTAGAAGTAGTTCTGCATGTCAATCACTAACAGGACGGCCGATCTGGTGTCCGGATCTCGATTTCTGACGTCATACTTCTTGTATGACGGCGGTGACGACGTCGATGTGCCGAACATTGTGTGCTTGTGGGAGTCTGCTACGTCCGTCCGAATTTAAGGTTGGGCCGGAAGGCGAAATATGGTTGGAAGTTTGGAAGTAAACAAAGAAGGTGACATTTCCTTTTTCAATCATGTACTCCTTCCTCCCTAAATAAACTTTCCCTCTCGTTCTTTTTCAAATAAATTTCTCTTTTCTCTTAAAAAAACCCCTTTTACCCCTTAATTTTTCATACCCTACCTATCACATTATACCTTTTTACTAATAATCTACATATCAATCTTACTTTTACACATCACATCAAGGATATTTTTGGAAAGTCAACACAAAAATATCTCTCCCTTAAATCCTCAAAAAGGGAAGTTTATTTAGGTACGGAGGGAGTACAACTTATACGGAGTATTTATTTCTACATTTTTATTGATTATTGAATAAAATAAAATATTTTTGACATTTCTTATTTAAAAAAAATTAATATAGTTTTTAAATATGTAATTTTTTATTTCAATGTCAATATTTAAATAGAATGAATTGAAAAAACTTAAATTTTATCTCATTTTGTAAAATGCACAAAGTATTTAAAATCTCTTTAGTTATTTTTTAACCATTTTTCTCAAAAAGGGAGGTATTAGTTCCTTATTTTCAAATTATATGAGGGCACTAGTATTCATTTCTAATTTTCCATTTTTTTCCTTTCTCTCTATTTGTAATTTTATCTATGAAGGTTGCTTCAAATTTTTAAAATATTTTTTAGAATATTCTTAAAATTTAAAATTTTTTTCGTTTGAAATAAAATATAATTAACATATATTGCATTCTTTTTATTGTTTATTTTCCCAAATTTAAAAGTAAACTTTTTTTATGGGAACTTCAAAAAAGAGAAATACAATAGGAAAGAAAAGAAAAGAAAAAATTAAGAAGAATATCGATTTTTGGACATTTCAATTTTAATGACTTTTTTTAAACGTTCCAAGAATTCTTTTTTTGTATTAGAGTATTTTTGGTACGTTTCTCTTTCTTCATTTTATTTTCTAAAATTTGCACTAAATAGGACTAAACCATAATGACTTTCTTAATGTAGGACTTAAACTTTTTTATTCTCTAAATAAGACTTAATAATGACCTATTGGAAGTAATAATGTCCAGTAATGATGAACATTTAGTTGAATAATGACTACTTGATAATGACCAAAGGTCCTACATTGAGAAATAAAAACATATGATCCTATATTGTGAAAGTCATTATGTTTTAGTCCTATTTAGGTAAATTTCTCTTTTATTTTTACATATTTGTATTTCTATTTCGGATTTTCTTTTTTCATCTTCCCATTTTTATTCTATAAACAAAAAAATGAAAATCTTTAATTTGCGATAAATGGAGTATATGTTAGTTCTTTAATTTTTTATATTTATTTGAAACAAAAACAATTTTGAATTTTGAAAACATTATTGACAAAAATTAGAAAAGAAATTAAAAACTTTTCAAAGAAAATGAAACAAAGAGATGAAAAAAATTAAAGAACGGAAAAAACAAAAAAAATAAACAAAAAATACGAAATGAGCTTTGTTACCCATGTGGTTTTGAAAATAAACACTTATGCCTTTTTTACACCGGATGGTGACCGGAAAATGATTGGAAAATACTCAGAAAGAGCGTGGTTACAACGTTTTAAAAACAAAAAGATTTTAGAAATAAATTTTGAAAATTGAAGGGTATTGATGTTCAATTTTCAAACCACGTGGGGTATGTGAGCAATTTGGCCTATTTTTCCATTCTTTTTTTTTAAAAAAAAATCTAAGACCCGAGTTTATTTGTAACAAGTGCACGCGTTCAGAGGTCACTATATTATGTATTACCTATGCGAGAACCACATGCATGTTCTATCCAATTTACCTTCAATTCTCGTAATAATTGTCCGGTCACGTTTGAAAAAATCATCGGAAATGGAGCTCATCCTTAAAAAAAATCTAAGAATTGGGTTTGATGTAATCTGATTGGATGTGATCTAATCGAATTTAGATGCATATAGTTTCATTTGATTCAAATTATGATTAATATGTATAATTATTAATTGATTCATCAATATATACTCGTATGAATAGCTTTTATTTTAGATATACTCCGTATATGATTTAAATATGTTAATATTGGAGGGTGCATTTGCAGGGGCACAATCGACTAAAAAACACTAGTAACTCACTAAATCATCAAAACATAAAAAGTAACGTGTTTTTTAAGGAAAATACTTTAATTAATGAGTTAAAGGATCCATAATGAACATAGAAGATGTGACCTCCCAAACACAATGAAAAATAGAAGAACTTATAGCCAAAGCATGCACGGCAAAATTTGTCGCTCCCTACAAGTATGAGAAACAAAGGTTATCTCAAACGAAGAGAGTAGCGGAGAGCAATCATCAATAAGCGAACTGAAATATGAAGAAATACTCCCATTGTCACACTGTTGAAGCTAAGGGCCGTGATAACTTGCAAAAATCCGTAACACTATGTTTGGTTCAAGGAATTAAGGAAGAAAGGAAAATGATAAGGAAAAGAAAAGAAAAAAAACTCAAAATTTTGTAACACTATATATAAATTTTATTTTTGAGTTTTTTTTATGAATTTATAAATAAAATAAGTTTAACATAATGAGATTTTACATCTTGTTCAAAGCAAGACAGTTATTTTAGAACGGAAGGAGTAGTAAGCTACAAAATAGTTATAAAATTTTATTTTATTCTAACTTCGCCTACTGCATATTTTGGTACCACGATGAGTATATTCCCCTAAGGGCCTGTTTGGAAATAGCCTTAGCGATTAGCGTTATCGTTTTGAAAAGGATATCTACGGGCAGCGTTTAGCGTTAGCGTTTTCAAAGTAATCTGCACCGTTAAAATTTTATCCAAAACGCCAACGCTATTCTCAAACATGCCCTAAGTCTCTATCAAAATATCCCAATACGAGGTTATCTTGGAAGCAAGAAGTGAAGCAACTTTCACTTGATCACAATCTTTTGGTGAGAAATTACAATGATGACTTTGCGCCTATAAATGTGAACCATGTGAATCTCTAGAACTGTTGCCACTTAATCCATTGAGAAGTCATTTCACAGCACGCACCTTAAGATCGGCGGAGATTCCCAAGGCTTGGAATACCCGAGCAGTATGCTTAAGCCATCCATGCACTAGATTTGATAAATTTAATATATTGAAATTTGAAAATTTTAATTACTTTAATTTACAATTTTGTTTCATAAACCAAATACATTAAGAGTTCGTTTGCTATACAGAATTGACGAAATTGAAGTTGAATGAAGAGTTGATATTCTATGAAATTGATTTGAATTTACTTAAAATCTCTACTTCCAATTCATTTTTGATACTACCAATTCTAAATCCACTTATTTTTGTGTTACCAAACACCAGAATTAAAATTATTATTCTCAATTCTAATTCTATAATTTAAATTTTGTGTACGACTAAGTAAATTTAAACAAAAATTTAAAGTAAAATACCAACTGAATCGCCCAAGAAACTGTCGTATAGTCTTATATGGTCTAAAAAGTTATATGCGGAAGAAGCCCAGAGCCCCAGATGGTCCAATAAGGCTTTAGTCGAAGCCCATCCATTCCAAAGCCCAGCAGAGAAAAGGGAAAGAATTTATACTCCGTAAAAAAAAACCCCGCCATCTCTGTAGCTAGCTAGGGTTTCTAGATTAGGCAGCTGAACTCAGCTGAGTATATTATAATTCAGCGTTGTTCCCGCTCGCCGGTTCGCGGTGCAGCCATCCCCGCGCTCCCGGAAAAGAGTAAAATTACTTTTTTACCATCTCTTCTTGCTGCTCGGCTCCGAGCTCCGGCGATTTCTATCCCCATTTTACCTTCCCCTCCTCTGTTATCGCATTCAAAACCCCATAGCATTTCAGTTCGTGTTTGCTTGCATTTTTTTAGCGATAGCTAGCAATATCAGAGGAGAAGGATCGAAAAAGAGTAATTTTATTAGTACTCTTTAATGGCTCAGATTCAGGTTCAGCATCAGAGTCCGGTGGCTCTAGGCAATGGCGTCCCGGCAAGCCAGCTCCAGACGACGTCACTCTACGTCGGGGACCTGGACTGTAACGTGACCGAGTCTCATCTTTTTGATCTGTTTAACCAGGTCTGTCCGGTGATGTCCGTAAGGGTGTGTCGGGACGTAAGCACTCGTCGATCTCTGGGTTATGGTTACGTCAACTACAGCAATCCTCATGATGGTTGGTATACACAATGCCGCTCCTTAGATTATTCTTGGAAATTGGAATCTTTGAATTTCTCTTTTAAAATGTCTCTCCTTTGGATATTATAGTCTAATTCATTTGCATGCTAGGCTTTATTAAATGTTTGCTGATATTTTGCATTTCATGATTATGCGTTGGCTCTAGAAGGACGGCAACGAATGAAAATTATGAATTGCTTTGGTAGATTAATGTGAGTAAATACCTTTGAAGAGTAGGGATTGAATTGGGGTCAGAATGTCTCTGGACATTACCTCTACCTCAAGTAATACATTGGTTGCTTATGAGGGAAGCCGATAAACAATGACACGCAGTGAGTGAAAAATGATTACAATGTTCACACGTTTCCTACATGGTCTCTACAACCCTAATGCCTCCAAGAAGTCAGAGGCTCAAGTGCACCAAATCTAACCTGAACTACTCATACCATATTGTGTGTGGCCTATCCATTTTGTTCCCCTCAACGTAGAATCCTTATACCCTCTTTACAGGTGTCATTGTGTTTTTATACTGCAGACACGACCAAATCATTTCAGCCTGTTTTTTCTTACATTATTAGTAATTGTCATCACCCTTAACTCTGAACGGAATTCCTCATTTGGTATTTTGTGCAACAAGTATGGCCATACGTCCACCACACCATCACCATTAATGCAACTTCCTGCTCCCGCCACATGCTTCTCTTATCAAGTTATAGCCCAACTTGCCATTCTTTATGCGTATACTTTTTATTTTGCTTCGTCGACTGCCCTTATCAATTATGATGCTTCACAGGAGTGTACAGTAGTTCTGAATATATATTTCTTTCTTCTACACTTTGAGAGCAAATTGATACTCAATGATCTACTGCATTTATAAATCTATCAAATGTGTTCTGTATATTCCCACAAGAATTTTTAGGGGGTTTGTTAAGATAGTATTGGTGAAGAGTTGAACTTTTGAGTCCTGTCATATAGTCCTTTAGACAGCATGCGTATAAATTCTCAATTATTTTCCTAGTATAGACTCTTAAGTTGCTTCATTACTTGTATAACATTGTTACACAAATTTCTCATCTTTGATTGCAGCGGAGAAAGCAATAAGTGCATTGAACTTTGCTCCTGTCAATAACAGGTCAATTAGGGTGATGTATTCTCAACGTGACCCTAGTTTGCGTAAGAGTGGGGCGGCTAATTTATTTATTAAGGTATCTACAATTGTATAATCTCTTTTTTTATTATGGTGGATGTATGGGCATTTTTTGCTGGCATTTCTACTTATGTAGGGTCTGCTTAAGTTTGTATCTATAATGTGCTGCCCTTTTCCACTGAATTCGCAGAAGTTTCTCTCTCTAAAACACGTGTTGTTAAAATTTATGCAGAATTTGGATAGGTCAATTGACAACAAATCCTTACATGACACCTTTTCAAGCTTTGGGAATATCGTTTCTTGCAAGATAGCTACTGATTCTAACAGTAAGTCCAAGGGCTACGGTTTTGTACAGTTTGATAATGAAGAATCGGCTCAAAATGCCATATGTAAGTTAAATGGCAAGCTCATTAATGACAAGCAAGTCTACGTAGGACACTACCTACGTAAAGAGGAAAGAGATGCTTCTTTGAATAGAACCAAGTTCAACAATGTTTTTATTAAGAACCTATCAGATTCCATAACTGATGAGGATGTCGTTAAAATCTTTGGTGAATTTGGGAATATTACTAGTGCTGTAGTGATGAGGGATTCCAATGGAAAGTCAAAGGGTTTTGGGTTTGTAAATTTTGATAACGCTGATGCTGCTGCTAAGGCTGTTGAAGCTTTGAATGGAAAGAAAGTTGATGATAAGGAATTGTTTGTTGGGAAAGCCCAAAAGAAACCAGAAAGGGAACAAGAACTTAAAAGTAAGTTTCAGCAAAGTGAAAATGTAACAGTGGATAAATACCAAGGATTGAATTTGTATGTCAAAAATTTGGATGCGAGTATTGATGACACCAAGCTCAAGGATCTGTTCACTCAGTTTGGCATGGTAACATCATGCAAGGTATGCCCATGATTACTTCAAGAAATCACGACTGTCTTTTTTGCTATGTGTTGTCAACTTGTCATATCAAATTGCTACTCTCTTTTAAATGTGTGAATTATAGAGAATATCTTAGTTTTTTTTCACACTTAATGATGTAGAGTACTAGGCTATATATGTACACTAGAAAAGCTATCCATTTCATCTTGGATGACCTCGTGTATGCTTCCATCGCAAGTGATTTCAAAGATAGGAAAGTAAAGCATTCCCATCCTTACAGCTTTACATAATACAGAGTATTCCACAAGATGCATTGATCTTTTGCTGTCTGTTTTGTAATCTTGATGTTATAGGTGATGCTGGATCCCAGTGGAGTTAGCAGAGGCTGTGGTTTTGTTGCCTTCTCGACTCATGATGCAGCTTCTAGAGCTGTAAGCTAATCCGTAGTATTAGTAAAGGATTATAGAGCGATTCTGTTTTGAGGTTTCTTTATTTTGGTTTTGTGTTTGTATAAAGTAAATGTTGCACTTATTGAGATTTTTTTTGTTAGCTTTCTGAGTTGAATGGTAAACTGGTAGTCAGCAAGCCACTTTATGTTGCTCTTGCACAGCGGAAAGAAGAGAGAAGAGCAAATCTGCAGGTAACATAAAATCATAAATAAAGTTTTTGGTAGTTACCATGAAGTGCCTTGTTTGTAAATTGCATATTTAATTGAAAAGGGACATTTGCACGAGTTTTATTCACGATTGTTTAGTTTGTGTCTTAATATGTGTTATTTACAATTTTTTTTATATTAATAATCAATTCTATGCCAATTGTATTCCTGTATCTTCAGGCACAGTTTTCAGAGATGAGACCACTTACGATGGCACCATCACTTGCTCCACGCACGCCATTTTATCCTCCCGGTGCACCTGGTATTACGCGTCCACTCTTTTACGGGCAACCTCCACCGGCTCTAATTGGTTCTCAGGTACCAATTCTCCGATACAGCACCTCACTGTTTTCTTTTTTAGTATTAATCTTATGTTTTTAAACCCTCATTCTGCTAGCAGTGATTGTGGGGTTTGTTATTTTGGAGAAGGGCTGATATTAATTTATTAATTTATGTATACATTTAGAGTACATGGGACACGATTAATGTAAAAAGTTATACGGAGTATATTAAAATACATGATTTAAGTAGACATGACAAATATACTATGCCCATAGTTTCTAGCGAAAGATCACCAAATAGAGATTATTTGGTAAAACAATGCAATCCTCTCCTCTTCTCCAAAATCCTTCAACCAATCAACCCCTTGAATATACGCGAGGCTAGTAGATCAAAGAGTACAAGTCATTTTGATGAATTGTTAGTATCCTTTAATTGCACACCTTCCAAAGTAAAAACCAAACCAACCCTGGTATGTCTCACTTGGGAGAAGGGTTTGAGAGGGTGAAATGTACATGGACCTCCAATGCATTATGCACATCATTAAAACAGTGAGCTGAGGAAGTTTGTGACGTGCATTGTCATTCATCATCATGATAAGCAGTCACCATGTCTGGTTTTCTCTTCTTTAAACAAGGTTATAACAGAAAACAATCGTTTTCTCTGGCTGGATTTATCTGTCAACAGCAGATTGTTCGTGGAATGCAACCTGGAGGAGCTTCAATGCCAAATTTCTGGGTTCCAATGGTCCAGCAGGCGGGGCAGCAAGCACCCCGACCAGGTGGCAGACATGGAGCAGTGCCTGTAGTACAACAAAACCAACAGCGAGTCCCCTTCATGCAGCAGCAGGTAAGCTGTTATTATTGCAATTTTCTTCCATTTTCCCTCTTTTGGGGTATGCTTGGATCAGGCCAATCTCATATGAGGAGGCTAACCCTTTAGGATAAGGCCGACTCCATATCGAGCTAATAGTGATGTCTTCCCTAGTCTTTGTTCTTCAAGGACCAGTCCATCTCAGCCATGGCCCAAGGTCTTAGAATGGAGGCCCATGGTCTAGATCCATTGTCATCAAGCAGTTTTCATGAATAAGAGATTCTAGAGAAATTTTCTGATTCTTCTCTTGTCACGTTGTTGGCTTGAATTCTTCTTGGCCCGTTAGTTCTTCTTTACTTGTATTAGCTTTAAAAGGCGAGAGGAGATTCCAGGAGGCAGGCTGTTTGGGGCCCAAACAAAGAGGTCTGAGGCGCAAAGTGTAGGGGTGCATCACACAGGACTGAGCACACCTCTTAGATAAAATACATTTATACTCCGTATATTGCACATAATATCCTCAGATTCTTGTTCCTTGCAAATTATCCCTAGAGTCTCCTTTTGCTCCATTTTTTTTTTGAAATCTTATTCTGTGTTCGAAATGGACCCTAAAGATATCTTCTTCACTTTCTATCTCAAGATGCTTCCAAGAGGAAGAGTGCACCATTTTCCAGTTGGTGGGGGCATGTCTCTTCCTCGTGGCAATGCAGCAGGACAACCGGTACCAATTACTGCACTAGCGAGTGCCCTTGCAAATGCACCACCTGAACAGCATAAGACGGTGAGTATTTATTCAACTATTGCACTTTTGTAGCTTGCCTTACTCCATACACCATATGTAGTTTTGGGTAGTACATGCACCAATGGATCTATGGTCTAACTCAAGCGGCCTATCTATCTGCATAGTTAGAGGTATTCCGTGTAACAGAAATTTGAAAAAATGGGTACTGCTTGTTTATCAGATGTTGGGTGAGACCTTGTTCCCGCTTGTGAACCAGATTGAGCACCAGCATGCAGGCAAAGTGACAGGGATGTTGCTTGAGATGGACGAGACGGAGGTGTTGCATCTGCTTGAATCGCCAGAGGCTTTAGAAACCAAAGTTGCCGAGGCTGTTGAGGTTCTGAACAATAATACTCAGCAAGCTGAAACCCCAGCTGAGCTTCTTGCTTCACTCTCCCTTGCTTCCTGATTTCTTTCTTCTTTCTGTGCTCGGCCCTTACGGTGTTTACAATGGCATTTCTTAGATACTTCCTCACAAGAAGTAGCTTTTGAGAAATATTCATCATTGGCGACCTCTTTCTCAATTTTATTATGGAGTATTATTTATTAAAACTAGCTTAGGAGTAGTTTGCCATTGTGCAAATATATTATTAGAATGAGCAATTTGCTTTTTGTATTGCCCTTTTTTTCTTGTTTGAATAGTCTAACATAAATTATGCCTTGTAGTGCGGGATACTATTTTTTCTATTGTTGTGAAGACGGACTGGGGGGGGGGGGTAGTCTACATAAATCTAGCTTTTCTTATAGTGTCTTTTCCATAATTTAGAATAATCACTTTTTATATAGATTTTAACACTGTTTTTTTCAATCACCACAAAAATTATAGGACTTCAAAGACTTCTAAAAACTACACAGATATTCAATTGTTGGATGAAGGCTAAAACAATTTATGATAGGATTTTAAAGTGGTTTAATAATGTAATGTGTCCTAGAAGACCACTTTTGTCGACCAAGTACATACTACATGTCTACTGCCTACGATTTTGGCTTTTTAGCATTCTTTGGTATTATTTGTTATCAAGTGTTTAGCTTTGAATAAAGAGTCTAGAACTACTTTGTTTTTATTATGTTATGCAAAGTGTCTATAAATATTAAATACAGAGAACCACTTGAGTAGTTAAAATCCAACAAGTCTAACGTCATGATATTTTCATGAGCGGTGGGTATGGTTCTTATCCAAGAGTTTGTTGGGTGTCATAATTTACTTTCTATTGTCATGGCTTGTGACAAGATTTTAACTTTGGGGCTATTTGGTCGGAAGGGATAGTCATTGTGGAAGTAAGTAGTTAACCTTGAGAACCACATGATTCGTGAAGTCCAATATACCCCTTTTCATAAAAGGATAAATCCATCGTAGGTTTAAATTTCTCAAACCCAATCTGAAAAATTACGTGAGATGAAGAAAATAAATGTATGATCTCAACGGGCTAATATGGAATAAGGTCTACCCTTGGTACATACAATGGCTTTATGCAAAACATAAACCTCCACATTACCTTTGTCAAATGTCTAATATGGATATAATGCTATTTTGTATCCCTATTGAATATTTGACCTACATCACCTTTTCAGGCTAATCCTAGAGGATGGTTAAGTCTCACTGACTTCATGCACTTGTTTAGTCACGAGCATAAGGACTTGCCGCAGGTGTAGCCTAGCTGGCAAGTGATGCGTACTGCCAGTTGGGATAATATCTGGGATCGATCCTTCACAAAGACAATAAAGGGAAATCATGCTAAGCATGATGTTCTTGTACTTACTAACGACAGATCCTTACTCCTTGCAAGACTAAGATCATAGTTCAATTTATCTCTTCTTAGTAGATTATCTAGTCAACTCTGGGGGACATCAGAGATGAGATTCATCTTTTTTTATGAGTACAAGGGCGGACTTCGGACTGGAAAGGATTTGGAACCAAAGAATCTTTGGGGATTGCGACAACACCTAATTACTCAGTTCCTTTAAAAGTTGATGCCCCAATTAGGTTTCCCATGGGTCATTGCGCAAGAATAATCTTGACTTGGCCACAACATTTTTTTCAAAGGGTATTATTTTATTCATGGTTTACCGGCTTTTTGCTTTTCCTTGCCCGGTGCAGGGACAGGTGGTCAATTGTGCACAAACAATTTCGCAATGAGTGGTCAATTCACTGTAATTTTGGCATATGGGTCAGTCTTAAACATGTTCGGAGCGTGACCCAACTGGTTGATAACTGTCAGAAATAAGTGCACCCGAGTTCCATTTCTTGTCATTACGATGCAACAAATGCTCAACATGATTTCAAGTGCAACTAAGATTAGTTACAAATTTGTCCCTCCTAGTTAAACTGTCTTACCAGTTCTTAGGGTGGATCCCCTTCTTTTCACTCTGTATTTTTTTTTAACAGTAAAAAAAAAGTCATGGAGGGGGTGAAAAGTGGGGCTGGGGCTAAACTTGTAGGAAATGACAGAAGACATATATAGATGGATGAGCCTTTAAAATAAAGAAAAGAATAGCAAAACAAATTAAAGGGTTTATTTGCCTTATTGCCAACCTTGTCTGACTTATCTTTGCCCGGCCGGAATTGTGGAAATTCCCAAAGACACCCCTCCCCACACAAAGTCTTCTCCGACCTATAATAATATACCTCCCGGAAAGTGGAAACCAACCGTTAATTATGTTCAAAAGGAATCATTATGTCATATAAATTTAGATGATCTAGCATTTTAAGGGTTTACACTGACGGAAAATGCCAGTTCAATAAAAAAAATTACATTGACATATTGTATCATTGTAAACCATCACATTAGCATTACACTAGCACAAAATGTTGGTACATACCTTTAGAATACAAACTGAATATATTTTTGGGGTACAAATAGCTTAATTGATGAGTATATCTTTGTTGGAAATTGAAACAAACATGGGAATTCACATGCATTTTTGTATATATACTATTCTTAATAATGGAGTGTACGTATATGGGTGGTGAGAATCAATACCTTAAGCTTGTACGTTGGAGTATTGTATGGTATGGGAGATGCCTTAGTGTAGGAGAAGATCGAGTGGAAGCAAAGAAATTAAACTTTATTTTGGGCTCAATGTGTATATATGTATGTATTATGTATAGGACATTATTGTCCTAAGAGTGTGAGAGTTTCTCTCGTGACTACTAATTAAGAGCATATTCTTTACCCGTTAGTTTTGATTGAAATCTAAACTTTGATAATTATAATTTTTAGATTAAGCGATGTATTGTGGAGTATATAGTTTTTTTCATTTGTATTTTAAACACGTGTTTTTTGTTCATCTTTTTAAATTGTCTATCGAATATGTATAAAGTTGTGGATTTCTACTCATATTTTTAACGTCATCGATTTTTAGTGACTATTTTAATGTATAAAATTCTATGCATGAATTCTTAATTTTTTTTACATTACAAAGTAAACAAAATAATAAAAAAAACTTACTATGGAATATACCATTTCACAAAATCTCGCAACTATGACGACAATCTCTTTTACCAGTGAAACAAGTAATGCAAAAAATCACTCATTTTCATCATTGAAAGACATAGTCATCATTCATTAGTACGGTCTAATTGACGGATATTCTGGACATGTGATATCTAGCCTAATAAAGATGGCTCAACGTCGTGGATTGGAGCCAAGCTAGTGACCCATACCCATTCGGAGATGATCACTCTCGAACTTGTCCTCGTCCATACTTTCGGCCTTGTCCTCTCAAGGACCTCAAGTTGATTGAGCTTATTATTAGGTCAAAGTTGTTGGGCCTCGACCTCATCGAGAAGACCACCGCCGACGAAGAAAAACTTAACATGTTAGTCTTTAGCCAATATAAGATCATTATATTCACCTTAAATTTCTACCTAAAAAAATATTCACCTCAATCATTTGTTTTTTGGTGTCCAAAAACTAAAGTCTAAATGTAGTAGTCATTTAGTTCAAATTCAAAAATTAGATGATGAAGTCTATAAAATAGAGTGTGAACAATTAAGTTTGATGTCTGAATAATTGAAATTTAAAATTGAGGATAACTTAGACTCAAATGAATTGACAATTCTGCCCTCCCCTAAAAGAAAATATTCCGTAAATTTTATTAAACCCGTAAAAAATTTGAATTAAAACTTGAATTAAACTATTTGTAACCCAAAACATAGATCTCAATTTGTACCTCAAAGACATGTACCATTAAAAAAGATACCCGAGCAAAACAAAACTCTTTTAATTTTTTTAAAAAGATTAAATTTAATAAAAGGTCCCTAGTTATAGGTCATTTTACATATTTAGTCTCTACATATCAAATATTACTAATTTAGTCCCTAAATATTACGGAGTATATTCATTCCCATGAATGGCTCTTTGTTAACATTTTCGTTAAGAACGTGGATAAAATTGTAAAGTCACACTCCTTTCTCTCCTTAATTAAGCTTCCTCCCTCCCCTCGCACTCGATTCCAAACCCGTCGCTAAGTTTAAAGTTTTGAACCCAAAACTGAAATCATCACTCTTTTCTCAATTGTTTGTAGAACTGGTAGAACCAAAATTCGAAACCAGTAACCTTCACGAATGAGTTTAATGTTTATTTTCTTTGCAATTTCTTGAAACTACCGATAAAACTCATTCATAAAACTTATTGGTTTTGATTTTAAGTTCCACTAGAAGACTAATAATTGAGAGAGAAGTGATCATTTCAGTTTTGGGTTTAGAGTTTCAAACTCAGCGACGAGTTTGAGAAAGAGTACGAGAGGAGGGAGAAAACTTAATTGAGGAGAGAGAAGTATGAATATACAATTTTATCCGTGTTTTTAACAAAAACGTTAAGAAAGGACTATTTATGAAAAATGATATAATAATTAGGGACTAAATTAGTAAAATCTGATATGTAAGGACTAAATATGTAAAACGCTCTATAACTGGAAACCTTTTATGGAATTTATTATTTAAAAAAAATCCAACACTCTTTATATGATTTTAAAAAATTCCTAGTGAGGTACGGTAGAAATTCGACTAAATTGTTTCAAAAGGAAAAAAAAGATGGAATAAGATAAGGAGTTGATTAAGCGAAAGGGCGCCTTAATAAATTCTTCTTATTCTTCTTCTTTTTGGGGGATCAGAAATAGTAAATTCTTAACTAAAAGCGGATTGATTCATGAATTTCATAATTGAGATTTAATGAATTGCCCGAAATTCTTCCACCAATTTATTCCCAAACCGTAACCAAACAACTGAAAGGCACCCGGAAATTACCCTAAAAAAATTACCTAAAAGAAAAAAAAAAGAAGGTTACAAAGAGGGAGAGAAGAGAGAGAGAGAGAGAGGGCATGTGAAGTGATGGATGCGAAGAGAGACAGAGAGGTGCTTGGCGTGAATATGAAATCCCGAAAGACATAAATAAATAAATTCAGGAAATTATTATTAATAAACAAAAAAGAAAATAAAATAAAATAAAAGAAACGCCTTTTTTTTATTTTAAAGTTTTCCTCTTCGGGACAGAAGTTACAGCAAAGCCTGGTATCCGTGAATGAATGAATTTACCAAGAATCTGCCCAGATTTTAGTAGCAATAAATAAATAAAAAGATAAATTGGGGGGTTTTAATCTTTTAAGGCAAAAACCAATCAAAATAAGGCAAAAAAGAGAGAAGAGAGAGAGCAGAGCGCAAGAATT